GATGATAGATTCTTAGATCCCTAAGGGCAAAAATATGAGTTGCTTATCCTTCTCCCAGGATTGCCAAATGACTCTTCCTGGTCCTGCAGTCAATTTTCCCCCTCTTCTTATCTGAAGATGCATTCACTAAATTGAATAAGTAAAAGTTCCATATGGATTCCAGATGCTTGATGCATAACTGGGGAAAAGGAGATGCTAGGCATAAATAACCATCAATATCACATTCCAAAACGCAAACCATTAACAGCCTGAAAAAGGCCATGGAATAAAATCCCTAGAAATTTAAGTAACTCAGGAAGTGTAGGAAAACAGATTCTCCCTGTACCTGTCCATTTCCCCATTAGTGATTTTCCAGATGATCAGTGTAGAATCTTGGTTACAAATGGCTTCAGACAGGAGGAGGCTGAGTTTGGGGGATTTTTTTCCTTAACAAAAGTCATTCTTTTGTAGAATGAATAATCATTAAGTGTTGTGGTCTCAGCTATTCTCTATCCCCATCACTTTTGGGGAAGTCATTAGTGTGAGGCCCCAACAGGACAAAATGAAATATTATTAGAGACAAATTTTAGCACATACTTCATAATTTTAACAACTTTCTTTCTTAGTAGTGGAAAATATTAGATGTAAGCCTGAATTTAAAAGGAATGTCATCAATATTTGGATTTTAAAAGATGCCAAAATATAAGAGGAGAGCCAGCATGGTTTAGTAGTTTGAGCATTGAACTATGACTCCAGAGACCAAGGTTCAATTCCTTGGTCATCCATGGAAAGCCAGAAGTTAAGGTGGACAAGTCACACACTCACAACTCCAGAGAACCCCATGATAGGTTCATCTTAGGGTAGCCATAAGTCAGCAATGACTTGAAGGCACACAACAACAACAACACACTAATTGGCTACTGAGAGTATAGGCTGAGCTGCATTTTGTTTCTGGGAGATCTGAATTTCTCAGCATTTCAGGGGTTGTAAAAATACTCACAATTTTTTTTTTTTTTTTTTTTTTTTTTTTTTTTTTTTTTTTTTTTTTTTGCTCTTTTGCACATTTGCCACTACTATTTTGGAGCCAAAGTTTCCACAGTCTACTTCTGCATGGGATAGTGAGGAGAGAGTATTTGTCCCAGTTGACTAAGCAACCTTTTACACCAGAATTCACATTCAAATATGTAGGGCTGGATCTAGACTCAAGCCATTTCCAAAGGTTCAGGATATAGATAACCTAAGTGTGTTAGGAGAATTTTATTTTAAAATATACATTTTTGTAAGCATTTGATCCTGCACATACAGTTTTGTATGCATTTTGGTACAATTTTAAAGTTGAAAATTGTATCACAAAATTTGAACTCTGTTATAATCCATATAGTGGGACTGAAAAAGTGAATATGACCAGTTTACTTAAAAATGCAGTTTCAACAAAACCCACATTCATTTTCACTAGGCACTTCAAATATGGTGGGTTTTGTGCATGCAAAAACACATTGTTTCCATAGAGACATGGGTTTTATACTAAAAAGAAGAAGACACCATGGTGTTTGGGGGCTGTGGGGAGTTGGAAAAAAAATGTTTGAACAAATAAATAATAATAATAATAATAATAATAATAATAATAATAATAATAATAAATTATTTATACCCCACCCCTCTGAAACCAATTGGGGCAGCTAACAAGTTAAAATACATTACATCCCAATCCCATCCCTACCCCATCCCTACCCCCTTAAAAGAATATTAAATCAAATAAGATTAAAACAAAATTATAGCAATAACTGCAACGATATTAATAGCAAAAAGGACAAAAGACAAAGAACAGCGACATAAGCCACTTTACATTAAATACTAAAAAGAATCTCTAGGGGAAGTTCTTGAAGAGTTCCTGAGGCCGGAGTAATCTATCCTGAAAAGGCCTGCCGGAAAAGATCCGTCTTGACTGCTTTTTTAAAGCTGTCTAAAGATGTCAGTTGACGGATCTCGTCCGGCAGGCCATTCCATAGTCTGGGGGCAACAACAGAAAAAGCCCTCTGGGAGGTAGTCGAAAGCCTAGATCTTTGTGGCTGCAACAATTTCCTCCCAGAGGAGTGGAATGCATGGGGAGGATTGTATGGGAGAAGGGGGTCCCGGAGATAGTTTGGACCCAAGACACTTAGGGCTTTATAGGTAATAACCAACACCTTGTACTGGGCCCGAAAACTAATAGGCAGCCAGTGGAGGGATCTTAGTACAGGCGTAATATGATCCTTCCTAGATGTTCCTAACACTATTCTGGCCGCCATGTTCTGTACTAACTGCATTTTCCGAACCAAGCACGAGGGTAACCCCATATAGAGCGCACTGCAGAAATCAAGACATGAGGGTACCAACACGTGCACAACAGTCTTGAGATCCCTTACTTCTAGAAAAGGGTGCAGCTGGCGAATCAGCTGAAGCTGATAACAGGCGCTCCTGACTGTCTCATTCCCCTGATTCGTCATCAGGAGCAACGAGTCAAGGAGCACCCCCAGACTGC